CTGATTGTGAACCCCACATACGTCTTAGGGTACCGTTCACTGGGGTTTATCAGGGCCCTTCGGTGGGGGGTTATCAAGGCCCTTCGGTGATTGTGAACCCCACATATGTCATTAGGGTACCGTTCGATGGGGCACCCGTAGGGTACCGTTCGCTGGGGTTTATCAGGGCCCTTCGCTGGGGGTTTATCAGGGGCCTTCAGTGATTGTGAACCCCACATACATCATTAGGGTACCGTTCGATGGGGCACCGTTCGATGGCGTTTATCAGGGCCCTTTCATGATTTTGAACCCAGTACCATTCGCTGGGGTTTATCAGGGCCCTTTCATGATTTTGAACCCAGTACCATTCGCTGGGGTTTATCAGGGCCCTTTGATGATTTTGAACCCCCCATACGGCTTTAGGGTACCATTCGCTGGGGTTTATCAGGGCCATTTGATGATTTTGAACCCCACATGCGTCTTTAGGGTACAGGTCGCCGGGGTTTATCAGGGTCCTTGGATGATTTTGATGATGGGAGTATGGCTTGATTAACAGGGGACGGGGTTCTATGCTCGTGGAGGGAGCAGGATAACCCGGCAGTCCCTCATTTTCTTTTCAGACAATGTAGCTTTTTTTCTTTTTTCTTTTTTTTTTTCTTTTCTTTTGAGGGAAAAGTTTAACATTTATATTAATGGACAGACCAAATAGGGCCAGGCATCCCTCACAAACAATCCGGGGCCATGTCCCACAGACACCGTAGACGTAGAAACTAGTTCCACAGTGTGACTTTGTGTGACCGCTACGATCTCAGCTGCTTTTGTGCATCCATCGGTGGTTTCTGTGGGAATTCCCGGAAAGTATTTTCTTTTATTTTGTGTTAGAAAAATGGATACTAAATCGGCTGCATCGGATTAGAACCCCCTCTACCCTGCCCATTTTCCGTAGAACTTGCTACCCCGTTTCGAGTGGGACAGCTAGTTCTACGGTCATTGACCCATCATTACCTCCTCGTCGGAGGACGGTCTGACAACCGCAGTGTCAGAACCTGACAGATACTATTACTTATGTTTCGAAGAATTCCGTTCATTCCTTTCTTTTTCTTTTTGTCTTTTTCTTCTTTTTTTAATAACAACAATTGGGGGCCAAGTCCCACTAGCAGCCTTGAGCTACCTCAACGCCTGAATCTGGACGCGTTTGTGGAGACGTGCAGTTCAGGAAACTCAACACCATTTCTGCACATCTCCGCAAAAGCGTCCAGATTCAGGCGTTGAGGTAGCTCAACGCTGCTAGTGGGACTTGGCCCCTGGGATGAGCCCAGTAATGCCTTTTTCTTTTTACTTTTGTGGGCGGAAGTTAGATGGGACACTGGACCTGGTTTCCAGGAGCCTAAGCTGGGTATGGGCCCAAGTACTTTCACCGGGGCCCATGTCCCACATACACCCTAGAGTGGAACTAGTTCTACGGTGTGACACAGTTATTATGAATTTTAAAAATTCAGAAGAAATGTAAAAAAAAAAAAAGAGAAACAGCTGAAAGCTTTTGTTCACAGTTTTCGAAAAGTAAAAGGAAGGCATAGGGCGCTATGCTTGCAGGGGCGAGGATTGGATTGAACGCCTGAATTTGGACGCGTTTGTGGAAGAGTTCAGAAAATCGAGATTGAACTAATATTCTGCATCTCTGCTTAAAACACGCCCAGATTCAGGATCTTAATCCAATCCCCTTTGCTGGTGGGACCTCGCCACAGGGGTCCCCTCTATGTAGTCCTAGGAGAAGGGGCAGGAAGGTAGTGAAAGGGAAATATAATTTGAGAGAAGAACATAGTGTAGTTAAAAAAAAAAAGAAAAAAAAAAAGTAAAAGGAAAGAATCAAAATATTCCCAGTGAAAGTCTCCGTGTTGTACGTGAAGTCGGAGACCGGGGACGGGGGATACTATGCCGTGTTATGAACGGGGATGGCTATTCTGACTCTGTGCATTCACTGGCCATGCCGGGTAAATGAGTGCCCTCCCACAGTCGACCAGTCCTTCGGGACATCAGTTAAAATGGGAACGATACAGAGAATGAAGATTAGCACGGCCCCTGCGCAAGGATGCCACACATAAATCGAGAAATGGTACAAATTTTTATGGTACCTAGAGCGCCCGATCCCATCCGAACTCGGAAGCCACGCGCCGTCGGGCCGGAATAGTACTGGGATGGGTGACCTCCTGGGAAGTCCCGGGGCTGTA